TGATTTTCTCTCCACTCCTTTGTGAAAAAACCAACAAAATGCAGGCACAATTGTTAATGATAGTTCATCATAAGAACCTGGTTTCTCTGGTGGGATATTGTGACGAAGATGACAACAAAGCTTTGGTCTATGAATACATGGCTAATGGAAACTTAAGACAGCATTTGTCAGGTATAAGCCACGTTGTCCTTAACAATCCCTGACCACTTCATTGGCCTTGACAACTTGAACTGGTAAAAGGCTATTCTGACGTTTTTTTCCTGTAGATGGAAACAGAAACATTTTGAGCTGGATCAAAAGACTTCAAATTGCTGTAGATGCTGCACATGGTCCATACTCTAATAGAATTTTCCAGTTCAATATTTCCTTTTCGCTTAAAGTAGTTTAATTAACATTTTTGTAATGTTATAACTGCAGGATTGGAGTATCTGCATAATGGTTGCAGGCCACCGATAGTCCATAGAGATTTGAAAACCTCCAACATCTTATTGACTGAGAACATACAAGCCAAGTTAGCTGACTTTGGATTATCCAGAGCTTTTTCAACAGAATTTGCTTCCCATATATCAACTTCCCTTGCAGGAACACCAGGATACCTAGATCCTGAGTGAGTCTTAAATCTAAAACATGATTAGTAACTCTTTTTCAATATCTTATTGATATAATTGTTTTTATGTTTTCCTTACAGATTTCACTCATTGGGAGTCATTAACAAGAAAAGTGATGTCTACAGCTTTGGAATAGTTCTCTTAGAGCTGGTTTGTGGTCAACCTGTCATAACAAGAGGTGAAGAGCGCAATCACATAATTGAGTGGATTAATCCTTTGATTGAAAGAGGGGATATTCAGAGGATCATTGATCCAAGGTTACAAGGTGAATTCAACATGAATGCAGCCTGGAAAGTAGTGGAGATAGCAATGTCATGTGTGTTGCCAATTGGAATCAAGAGGCCAGACATGAGTCATGTAGTATCTGAACTTAAGGAGTGTTTGGATTTAGAAATGGGTTCCACAGAAACTCAGAGGATGGAGAGCCAGAGATTGAATAATTCACTTGAAATCACTCCTCTTGCTAGGTAATTTAGTAGACAATGCTTTGTGGATTCATCGATGTAAATCCCTCTTGTTGTTTAAGGACATAAACTTCTATTACTTTTGAGATGAAGTCTATTAAGTTACTTTCTTAGCAGTTATGTCTTCTATGTAATTTTGTAAACGATGTTAGTGGTGTTGTAGTTTGTATTGTAGTTTCTTCTTTTTATTTTAGTGACTGCCTTGTATAAGAAGAAAAGGTTGTCTGAAAAGAGTGAAACTGAATGTAAAGGAAGAAAAGGGGTTGTAGTTTCTACTTTTTCTTAGAAACTGGATGTATGTTCAATGCTTGTTTGCTGAGTAATATCATAACTCAATTCATGTAGTTCATTTTTCAAGCTTAACCCTTGAGTTTATGTTCATTTTCACTTAAGTTTTCATCTTTACATCACCAACTACAAATAAAAACCCTTTGCATAATTAATTTAGTGAGAATTTTGTATGCAATTGACCCTATTGGTTTATTTCTTGTTTCCAACTGATTACAAGTTATACTACAAGAGATTCCCTCCAAATGCCAAGAGATTCCCTCCAAATGCCAGCTATATAATAAGGAATAACCCTTTTGTTTCTTATTGACATCCCAGCTCATTGCAATGTTTATCTTGAAACCTCCTACCTTCGAATTCTTGTGCTTAAACCATTAGGAAATCCCAAATGCCAAACATGCAAACAAAACAAGTTAGCAGACTATCAAACATTAATGAGGATCCAATATTTCAGCCCTCACGGTTGGGCTAAGGTCGGCTACCAATCCTCTAACATGCAGCCAGCCTAGACAGATAAATGATAATGAAAACCAACAACTTAGCAATTGAATTTCCAATGGAGAAATAAATGGAGCTTCAAATTAATACACTAGACCCCGTTGTCAATTGCAAAGAGTCTATATATAAATCTACGTACATAAACAAAATTCTATCAATTTCATGTACATGGTTACATGGAAATCTTCCTAGAAAATAATTTGCATTTTCAGTATCGCAGTACATGCTTCTACTCAGATATTTGCACAAGAGTCCATGTAGATTTTTTTCTTTTTTCCAAAGAAAATTAAGAAAAAGATAGAATTTGAAAGCAACATGTTTGGATTTCTTTCTATCCTCAATCTTCCAAATTGATTCAGATATCAAGAAGAAGAAACAGAGGATCGAAATATGAACTCCATCACATGCAACTTCGTTGTGGTTCCAACCCCTTGTGCGTCACCATATCCATAATATCATCCCAACTACTCTCCCTCTTATTAGTTAGATACAAATAAATTCATATATGTAAGTTTGTCAACTTCATCTACATTATAAATGAGAGAGAGAGAGGGAGAGAGAGAGAGAGAGCAAAATAAAACAGAAACAAAATCTAAAAATTTGCTAGAAATTTGTTTAAAAAAATATGTCATTTGAATGCATAATAGAAACTTGAACTACTCTCATTTATTGGCCGTTCTCAACTTCTATCTTCCTTATTCATGACAAAGCCACAGTTGGATCATTTCCAAAGTCCTTTTATAAGGACTATGTCAACAGCTCAAAGTACTACTGTTGAGCAAAATGGATAGGTACCATACAAGAGCAATGCTTTTAGTCTTGGCATTTGCACTTCTAAGCAAAGGGCATTCACAAGACTCAGATGCTCTTGTTCCGGCCATCAAAACCTTCAGTGATTCTGCAGTAGATGTTGCTAACAATGACCATCTCCTCAACCTTTTCAAGGCTAATTACCCTCCTTATGGAAAGGACTTCATCAATCATAAACCTGCTGGGAGGTTTTGCAATGGGAAGTTAGCTACTGATATTACTAGTAGTAATAATAAGTAGTACTGCTAATTTGTCTAGTGATTATTTCTTTAGGTTAATAAACTAGATAGATTTCCCTTTACAGCTGAAAATCTGGGATTCAAGACTTGTGCCCCAGCATATCCAAGCCTGGAAGCATCAAGGAGGAATCTTCTAATTGGGGCCAATTTTGCTTCAGCTGCATGTGGTTATGATGACAAAGTTGCCATCATAAATGAGAGAAATTGAATTCCACCTTATGCATATATTCATCTAACAATTCCTTCCCTTTTTGTCAAACAATTTTAGTATTTTGCTGCATGCTATCCCATTGTCACAGCAATTGGAGTATTACGAGGAGTACCAGAAAAAGTGAGCAAAGTTAGCTGGAAGTAACAGATCTGCATTCATTATCAAGGACTCAATTTATATTCTCAGTGCTGGAAGAAGTGACTTCCTTTAGAACTACTATGTCAATCTTTTACTCAACAAAGCCTATGCTCCCGATCAATATGGTTCATATCTTATCAAGGTGGAAGATTCATCTCAATTCCACTAACAATCATAGATAATTAACAAGAAACAGGTAAAACAAGTGAAATTCAGATTACGAGGACCAAACAAAACTGCATGAGGGCGTGAAACTGAAGCTGCTCTTCCACTTAACTTTCTCTCCTCACCATTGTTCTACTGGTTATTCATCACTGCCAAAATGCATTTCATAATTAAGATTAAGAAAAAGTACATAATTAACCTATAATGTGAGTTTAATTTCTAACAGGTCCACTAATTCAATGTGGAGAGTGGAGTACATAAGTCATACAAGTCAAAAGGTCTCAATACCATGTCAAGAACCGCTTCACTCGAAAATTCAGGCAATTAGATAGCAACAACATTTAGAATGTAGTATGTAGAAGAGAAATAATTAACCTTTTGAAGCTGAAATTGAATTAGCATTGGTGACTCTGGCAATTATAGGTGGAGAATCAGAATCCCATTGATTTTCCTTCTCTGCACAGAAATGAGAGGGAAAATAAAACCATACACTACATGGGAATATAGGATGTATAATTAGAAGCAGTACTGATATATCCTAGTGAAAAATAGTGGCAGCTGGTATTAATTACCTTGGCCGGAGAAAGACTCTAAAAATTGAACTGGACCACTGTCATCTTCATCTTGTTCCGGCCTCACTTTCACCTTTGAGTACACTTGATTAATTTCAAAAACAAAACAAAATATTCACATTGGAATTGCTAAGATGCAAAGAGCTTCCGAAACATAGAAAGAATTAAAGAACTCACTTTTCTTCTGCTGTTTTGTCTTGTTTTTGGAGTTAGGAGTCTGAATGAGAGAACGCAGTGTGTAGTAGAAGTGATAATGAGAGAGCAAGAATGGAAAAGGGTGAAAGAGAAGGAAGTAACGGTCGGCAACTGAAATGGGAAGTAGTAATTTTGATGATTTCCTGACTTGAAAACCAAAGGACACACATTTCGCTGTTTGAATCATTTTGGCTTTGGCAGAGGGGAAAGTGTTTTTGGTCTGGAAAAAGTATGAGCCAATATTGAAGTGACACGTAGGACATTGCCAAGAGAGCAGTGGGG